CGAACTAAGTCGACTTTGCTGAAGATAGACTTGCCAGCTAGAGCTGAGGTCAAGTCGTGCATGTGCGGAATAGGGTATTTATCCGGGACGGTAACTTTGTTAAGTGCCCTGTAGTCACCACAAGGGCGCCAGTCACCGGATTTCTTCGGCACCATGTGTAATGGTGATGCCCATGGACTTTTGGACGGGCGGATGATTCCCAGTTCGAGCATTTGCTCGAATTCCGCCTTAGCAGCCTTGAGCTTGTCCGGGGCTAGTCGGCGAGGGCGGGCCGAAACAGGTGGGCCCTTAGTGCAAATGTAATGCATGACGTTTGACGTCACAGGAGGCAAGTCGTTCAGGACGCGAACGAGTTTAGGGTGCTTGCTGAAAAGTTCTAGAAAAGGCTGTGAAGCTTGAGGTAGGACACGAATGGGAGTGATAGCAGCCACGTTGGCGCTGGTCCCGATAACACTGAGTTGTGTCCTAGAGTCGATAAGCTTCTTCCTTTTAGCGTCGACGATGAGGTCGAAGCGTTGCAGAAAGTCTATGCCTATGATGGCGAAAGGCACAGCAGCGATTATGAAAGGCCAGCGAAAGGTTCGCCGGAGGCCTAAATTGAGCGTTAGCAGTTTTTCGCCGAAAGTTGCGATTGGTGGGCCATTGGCGGCACGCAGCTTGGTCGGCGATGGTGAGACGACCTCATCTGAGCTACGGGGTATAACGCTAACTTCGGCACCAGTGTCGACTAGAAACTCGGTGCCGGAAGTTAAATCCCTAACGCGGATGAGGCGACTTTGGTGTTGGCCGGTCGCGTCCTTCGCCGTTACGGACCGGCCGAGGTTTCCCTGCTTCTCGGCAAAGTTGCAAGGCTTGATACATTTACGAGCTGCGGTACCAAAACGCTGGTGGTACCAACAGCTAGCTTGCCTGTTAGACTTAGAAAGTTTGCAGGGCGATTTTGAGCGGCTAGGACGACGACGGTCCATAGTAAGTTGCTGGACCTGGCGACTAAGTGTCGCAACTTGTGTTTGCAGGGCTTCTATAGTTGACTGTAAGCCAGTGATAGAAGTGCCCTGGGACGCGACGGCATTGATCTTGCTGGCGTCGGGTTGTGGCTGTGATCGTTCAATAACTCGATCCGCTAAATCTGCTACTTGAGTGAGCGAAACGGAGCTCACTGTAGCGAGAATCGCTTGCGTGTTTTCCGGTAGCCGTTGTAGCCATAGTTCGCGAAGTAAAGTCTCGTCCATGGTTGAAGAACCAAGGAGTTGCTGCATCTCTCGTAGAAGGGTTGAAGGCAGTTTGTCGCCCAGCTGCAGATCCCTGAAAAGCTGCTGCAGGCGAACTTTCTCAGAGGGCATAACCCGCTTAATCGTGGCTTCCTTGAGAGCCTCATAGCGGTTTTCGGCCTGAGAAATGATGACGTCACGAACCTGCATTGATATCACCTTGGGGCGATAGGACAGCAGCTTGCAATACTTCGCGTAGTCGGAAGTGATTTTGTGGTTATAAAACTCAGCCTCAAGAAGAGCGAACCACAAAACAGGATCTATGTCCCAAAAAGGTGGAACTGAGAGAGATACAAAGCTTAGCAGAGACTCTACGTTATGGTCTACAGATTCCATGGTTTAAAAAATGACGCAAAATATAGGCTACCGTATGCAAAAATAAACCGGAAAATATGAAAAATAAATGGAACGAGCTCACCGGAGAAAAGTTCGAAATATCCGGTGCTGAGATTGTTCCGGATTCGGGGTCACCAATTTAGAGGGTTGCCTATTCCGGGAGCCCAGAGAGCGATTCCAGAAGACGGATCGAGTTGCAGGGAAACTTTTATTGGTACAGTAAAAGATTCCCTGTGACCTAGCTATAAAAGAACGACACCGTGGACGCTCTAGCTAGGGGAACGGATCAAGCACAGCACACAGGGCAGTTGCGCGTTGCAACCGAAACGAGCGCCAAACAAAAAATGGCGATGAGCAAGTAAAGCATTCGAACTCAGCAAACAGTTCAACAGACCACACCGGTTGCCTAGGTGTACAATTATAGAATTTTGGTTAGAATTTTACACAGGCAAACCGGGGAATCTCCAGACTGCTACACATGCCATCACAAATAGTTTGCTATTGTGCAGAGATAAAGCGGCATCAGCGAGACAGCTTCTTTGCGGCTTTCACTGCCCCTCGTCATTATCAGCCATGACCCCGCAGATAACTCAGCATCAAATGCGCTTTAAACCGGCAGTCCGACTCGGAGACGGCAGTGGACATGCCACTGTCATGTTCTTTAACGTCTCGAGCCAGACCCAAATCGAGTCACATGGACTCCCCAGATGATCGGATTCGAATGATGACTGCCGCTGATAAGCTACGAAGACGCCGATCAAATGCTGATGATACTCTTCACATTGCGGCTTTTTGAGTGGTACAGAAAGCACAGAGAGGTCGGTGGAAACCAATCTTCGCCATACCCAGGTTGCAAGGTTAAAGGATAGGCTAGCTGCAATATTTGCTAATGTGCTTAGCATAAAAAAGTTTGATGCAACTCATTTCCTTGCCTCGTAGTATTAATAGGATTTAATTGCTTTTACAGTGACGTGATTCTCTTCAGATATTCTAGACTCAGAGGTTCATATTCGGGTATCACTTCTCTCGGGCCGATGGCTTTGGAGCGAGGTCTAGGGCTTGCGTAATTCTGTACTGGAAGGATGACCTCAGAACTCATCCAGTGGAAGCATCTTGTGGCAACGACGCTGCTTCCGAGCTTCTGTGATGTCAGGTGCACGACGGGTACAGGTCTCATAGTCAGCGTCATCTGCATATACTCTATGGGGTCCAGAGCTTGGTCGCTGGACTCGATAAAGAAGCACGGTAGAGGCAGAGACTTTTTAATACGGGGGAATTTTAGTGCCGCTGCTACTGTTTGGAATCTGCTCCATCGTAACTCTTCAGATTTCTTTGTTGCCTTTTTCTTCCAAATTTTTCTTGCTTGTCATCTGCCTCAGTATGTCGCATCGCCCACTAGAACATATCTAAGCCAGCCGCCACACATTTTGGACCCTGTACTGTCCTATTTGGCTTTTCTCCAGCCAATTGGCAAAAGTGATAATTGTGTACTTTCCTTCTAGTGAACACGACATCTCTCCATACATGACCTACTGGTCCATCAGACTCACCGTCTGGGAGTTGCTGCAATTAATATGGACTGCAGCATTCCCCAGCACCTGGACTTTGACGCCATCTGGAGCCTTCTGTACTCAGAAATGATGTCACTCATCAATTATCTCGTCTTGTTCTCTGACAGTAAACGTTTTCCCAGAGGCCCTGCTTGGATCCGCCATGAGTTAAGGATCCTTGGGAGCAAACGACACGGATTACGAGATTGGTTTAAGTCTACACAATCGGCCGTGGACTACTTGACCTCTAAGGTAGTTAGAAACCTTTGCACCCTAACGAAACGCGAGAAGCGATAACAGTACGAGCTGCATTTAGCGGAGGAGTCCACGCTCACTCCAGAACTACATTTCTCCCACATATGGAAAGAAATACAGAAGCTGACCATGGTCTACCTGCTTTTATATTCCCGCGATAATCATACCATACTAAATTCAAATAATACTAAAGCTGGTCTTCTATCCATCCTGTACTCCGGTTCTCGAGAGTGAAATCGTCGAAAACCAGCTTGGCACTTGCCACAACAAGATGTACCCATCATTTTTTTGCTTCAGCTGGCTGCCTTTATTGTACTCTACATCCGAACTGTCTACAACGCTAGTCTTCTCCGAGTTAACAATCGTCTCTGACTCATCCGATCGCACTTATTTGATATTCTGGAGGAACTACTTCCTGCTCTAAAATCTCATCCGCCAGTCCCTAGGCTAGTTCACACCTGCAAGCGGAGTGCGTCGGGGTTGCCTCTACCTTTTTGTTTAACTTTGTGATCGAAGTGATCGCGATGCGTTCTCTCCTGCCTTCTCCTGGAGTAGAGTTCACGGATGACTTAGCTTCCTTCGGATTGGACTCAACCGTCACTCGCTACTAAATAGGCTGATTGACAGCAACACACCGGTTTATTTTTCTTAAACATCTGTAGAGAAACTGAACTGACTCATAACCACTCGTAGTAATTTATTGGCTCATTTATCGTCACTGCTTATCCCCCTTGGATTGAATCACTGGATAAGTTATTTCTCAGTTCAATAGGACTCGCATCACTCTCTACAGCTCACTTGCTTGGGGCTATAATTGGATGGCGGCAGCGTGCACTGACGGATCGTACCCAGAATTATGTTATGGATGACAAATGCGGTCACTTCGTGTTTAAGCTGATATTCATTGTCTTTGGTCACAGCTGCCTACGAAACTTTGTTCAAATCTGGTGAAACCACCGAGTGAGTGATTCTGTCCGTCAGTTAGTGTTCTAGGACTTTTGTTACCACACTGGACTCTGATAAACTCAAGTATACATCGGCTGTGTTCTTATGCCTATCGACCAACCACCTCAACGCGTACTCCCAGGCGCTCCTGCTTCTTTTTATCTGGTTCATCGCAATTAGGGCGCATGTCACTAAGGTCAACTACCTACCCGGGAAAACACCAGACGGTGGTTTCGCCCTATTAAAATAAAATTTTAAAAAATCCTCAGCTTGCGCCGTAACGGCGCTTCGCTGCCGCACGACCACCACCAGTCGCGCGTGGGCTGAGTATGCCGGGAGGACGCCCGCCCCTACGCGGATTCGAACCGGGGACCATATGATTGCAAGCCAGGAGTGCAGACCACTCGGTCACCGCCATATTTGGGCTCCTCAGTGGTGCGCATTCCCTCGGTCCCCTGCTGGGGATCAAACCCATAACCGCTAGTGAATCTTTGTTTATTTTTGGCCTGTCCTAACATCCTACGTACTCTTCGCAGCTCTTTTACACCCAATGGGATTCACTCCATGACACGCTTTTAGCTCGGCTTTTCACAAAAACTAGCCACAGCATGATACTCCGTCGCTGTCTTGCCTTTCGGCTCAGCCACATACGTCGTACACGCCTGAGTTTCCCACCAACCGACGCATTACCTCGTTCTTATTCCACTCGCTCCAACGTCATCCCATCCGAAGACCCCGGCAACAGACGTATGCGTTTGCATTTGTTGACGATTAGAACTTGCTTTTAGTTCGTGAAGACCAGATCCCTACGCAATCTGATATTCTCATTATTGGTGGTGGCCTTATCGGCTGGTCCGTCGCGTTCTGGATGAGATGGACAACCAAATTTGGGGTCACTGTGGTGGAACGCGATCCAACTTACCGTTGCGCAGCTTCCTTCTTGGGCCTTGCTTCCTGCAGACAGCAGTTCTCCGAACCGGAAAACATTCAAATGTCCCTATTTGGTAGTGAATTTATACGGAACATCCGAGACTATCTCACTGTGTCCGGTATGCGTTTCTGTTATTTTTACATCTACCCTTCAGAGGATCTACCCCTAGATATTGAGTTCAATCCTCAAGGGTGCCTTTTACTATCTGACCAATCACAAGCGGAAAATATGCTGTACAATTACCAGTTACAGACGTATTTCGCGGTTTAAATGGTCATATTCCTTTCTTTCCACTCTTCTAGTGAGCTTGGAGCGAAAGTAGAGTTACTCGATAAGGAAACTCTGAGCTCTCGCTGGCCATGGTTGAACTTAGATGGTATTGAACTGGGATGCTATGGTACGCAAATCACTTCCATTTCTGTATTATTACGCCAATTGGTATTGATTCTGTTGAAAATGCCTCCAACCGTGTTGGTGTCTTTTATATCCATCACATTTATGATCGGGTAGTGTTAAGCAAAATAATGGCCTCATAAGTATTTGAAGACAGTCGGTTCGTGCAGTTGTTGCCTGATATTTTGCTTTTGCGACAAAACTGTCAACTCAAGGGAACTACTCATGTTTGTTGTAACATTTTGTACGGTGGACATCTCATCGTCACACGAATACTTCGCACCGGATGCCTCTTTCAGATAATCAATTCTGCTGTACTGTTGCTGCAAAGCATTTACACAATACGTTAGTGACAGCGTTATCTCCGTTCTCCCCCCCCCCCCGAGCGTTACCAGGTCGTGATGCCTGACAATCATCTTCCTTTACCATCATCAGGTGGTAATTACGCTACCTTCCGATAATGAGGCTAATCGCGTTAGAGATACCAAGGTGTACAGAACTCGTGGGGCCTTATACTAAGCCTATAAAGGCGCTACTACCGGAGACCACATTTTTGATTTCTCCTTGTCGCATATACTCGTGTGGTTCCATGTTTGGTCCGGTACATTGAGGTTGAGACCGTGTCAATTCGAGCCCGTTCAGCTACTCTTCCACGCTGGTCACAATTCGCGGTGCCTTCGTAATTTAGCTCACATCTGGTGGGAACACCGCGTGAGCAACGAGCGTGTTTGCCGCCTTGTTTACGGCACAGGAAAAGGAACTGAACCGCTCAGCACTGTTATTTCACGCACCAGGCTCCGATGGCTCGGCCACGTGTTACGCATGCCAGCCCACCGACTCCCGCGACGTGCGTGGTTTGCTCGCCCGGGGTGTGGATGGAAGAAGAGGAGGGGTGGCCAAGCAATGACTTGGTCGAGAGGAATGATGGCCCTCACTTCTGAGCTGGCCTCGGTTGGAGCGTCTCGGCTCCCTGGTTGGGGTCCGAAAGACGATGAACACGTTTGGTTGGACACACTTGTTGATATGGCTAAGAGCCGACCTCAGTGGCGTTCGTGTTGTGCGTTTCTTCGTCCCACCCCATCCCTCTTAGCCTCCCCTCCAACCACGATCTCATTATTTAGCCTTATATAATTTTGCATAGTAATTTTTTTGATGCACAGTAGCCGGCTGGTAGCTTACCGGAACGATGCCCATCCGTTACCGGTAGCTCAGCCGGCTTGCACCAGTTGCATTCTTATTTTTTCTCCTTTTTTCTGTATATTGCGGCACAGTAGCTGAGGTGTTCCCTACCTCTAGCTAACGTGTATGATGATGATGATGGGTCACAATTCGCAAGCACCGAATCTTTCTTTTCGACTACAAGGTCGCAGCAAACGAGGGCGTTACAACAACAAACTGGACAACGGTTAGCACATGTGACAACTTGTGGCATCAGTCGCAAGTACAAAGATATGAACCGACGAGCTGTCCCGAGCACAGGCCAAGCTATAATGGTAAGTAATATAGCTTGAGGAAGAATAGCTCAGTTAGTTCATTATTGTCGCATTGCCACATGAGGTCTTAGTGACGACGGCTGCTTTGATCTCCTTTGTGCATCCCGGATCCATATTCTGACTATCACCAGGATGGACGAATTAAAAATCTTTGCCACACATTAGCAACTCCATCTCCTCCTCCACTCTATTTACGCAACTGTTGATTTTGGCGATTTTTCGTCGCCTCGGCAACTAGCGTTTAGGGTGTTGTTCACAATCCCATTTTAGTGATCGCGCCATTTACCAACCCCCTTTATGCCCCGCGTTTGTTGCATGCACTGGTACTGTCAAATCCTTGGCGTTACGTGAGGTAGCCACTTTAGAATGCAATCATTAGGAATAGCGCAGATCATCAGCTATACATGTCGATCGATAACCCTGATGACTTTGTGGACTGATGGTGTGTCGTCCCAGCCAGGTAGTGTTAAGGTCTGTCTAACGCGTGCGATTTCGATTATTTCAATCAGGTTCTTTTCAGAGGTCCCAATCCAACCGCGAAATCACAAGACGAAGGCATTGATGAAAGAATGCCTGTTACCCAATACAACTGCCGAACACACAGTATTCAGCTTGTATCCTCATATCTTATTGTTCCAGAAGTGAGTCGTCGTGGTTATCTCAGTTTCGCTTGATTCGAGTTTCGATCACACGCAACTTAGTAATCAACCTCCGATAGTTTGAAATCCGACCAATCCATCTTATATAGAGTAGAAAGCTGGTTCCACCGGAAAAGCATCGATTCGCCCTACTGGGTAGCTTCAACTTACACTTTACTAGTATGAGCTACTTGTCGAAGTGTGCAGCGTATCCGTCTGTACAATATTGCTTGTCTAACAGCGGTGTCGATCGTTTACTCCAGATTTCACAGTCGGTCACATAACGTAGCGTTCAATACAGAAGGATTGGAGAAAGCAGGACAGTTTCTGTGGCATTTTTTAAGCATAAATCCGAAGAGGATAAAAATGCCACATCCTCATCAATACACGTTGGCTGCAAGTAATGAACACACTTTAACTAACGTGCCGCAATACACAAGAACTAGGATGTATGCAAAACGAGGTACAAAACACAGTAAAAACCAAAAAGGTAACCTGATTCTTAGTGTCGTATTAAGCATCAAGTATGAGAACGAGCTTAGAAGGGGTAGATAAGCCGGAGGGGGGAGAAAGAAACTTACAACACAAACTCCATTGGGGCTGGCTATTCGCCATATCAACCAGTGTATCTAACCAAACTTGTTCAACCTCATACGGACTCAGCCAGGCAGTCGAGCGACACTAACCTACGCCAAGTTCGAAGTGATGGTTTTCATTCCTCTTGACCAAGTCATCGCTTGGTCCACCAGTAACGAATGAACATCGTTCCAGAAAGCTAGCAGCCGGCTGTTACGTCGCAAAATGCCATTTATGCCTCAGGAATTAGATCGCGGTCGGAGGTGGGGGGTGGGTAGGGTGGCAAAATAAGTCATAGCACAAAAGCCACTGAAGTCGGCTTCTAGCCATATCAACAAGTGTGTCAAGCTTAACGTGTTCATCGTCCTTCGGGCCCAACCAGGAAGTTTAGACGCTACAACCGAGGCCAACTTCTAAGTAAGGACCTTCATTCCTCTTGATCATGTCGTCGGTTGGCCTCCCATCCTCTTCTATCCACAACCCGGTCGCACAAACAGCGCACGTCACGTCAGTTGGTGTGCCGGCATGCGTAACACGTGGCCGAGCCATTGGAACCTGGTGTGTGAGATAGCGGTGCTGAGTGGTTCACTTCCACTTCCTGTTCCATAAACAAGGCGCCTAACACGCTCATTATTTACATGGTCTTCCCGCCAGATGTGAGCCGAATTGCGAAGTCGGTGATGGTTGAACACAACTGACCTAATGGGCCAAGTTTCACAAATGAACGGTAGGGTCGAACGTACAGCTGCATTGTACACTCTACCCTTCAGGGAGAGTGGTGTCGCTCCGGTGACATAGGTGGGAAAGGATAGTAAAAGCGCCTCGAGCTTTTGCTATACGGTTCGTGACCTCGTCTTCGATTCTACGGGCGCTGATACAGCTGCCTAAGTAATGAAATTTTTGAACGACTTCTAGCTGATCCCAACCGAGAGTCAGCTCAAGAGGCGCTCCCTTGCAATCTTGGAGGAAAGCTTTGCATTTCGAGAGTGCAAAACTGACGACTGACAGCCAATACTACTCTGCCTAGTGCTGCTTGACACATTTGTGAGCTGTCATAGGTGAGGGTAATCTCGTCAGCATACTATGTCAAGAAGTCGTTCACTGGGAGCAGCTCCACACTTAATTCGTGTCCATCAAACGTCGTTTCCATGCTTTCGTCAATAGCGGCTGTTCACTAAGATCTACTCTAGTATTGAAGCTTCCCTACGTCTACCGAGATCGACTCTTATGCCAGATGTACTGCATGGTGTGTGCTCAGCATCGCCGAAAGCGTGCAGTTTGTAAGCCTTGTCACTTGAATCCACGCATGACAAGCGCAGATGAACTGTAATGCTGTTTTCTTGTATTAATGTTTTTTTTCAATGAGAAAACAATTTAGTCAGTGGTGTACAGCTGAAGTACCAAATCGTTTCAAGAATATTCACGTCCCTAACGTGACCTGTGACACACTTCATTAGTCGGATCGGTTCTGCACTCCCATTTACAACAGTATTTTCCAGATGCGATCATTCCTTTCCGTTGATTTTCACTGCTTGTTACCGTTTCGATGGCATCTTCTCTAACACGTTTTTGCATCAAATTGTTGACTTCTGATTTTCATTAAGATTAGGAGTTTGGCGGGAACGAGACCAGTTCAACCGGAGTCGCACGTAATGATGGGGATCCAAGGATCCCCAATAGGGGACCAAGGCAATGCGCGTCACTGACGAGCCCCAATAGGTCGAAACGCGTCTAGTGCTTCTCCGGATTGTGGTTGTGCTATGTAGCTTGTGAGCTGCTGGGACGAATACGTTAAACTTACAACTATAATCCTCCTACTCACAACGAATATTTAACAGTCGGTTTCTGAGTCACAGTACTCGTCGACACCAATGGGGTATAAACTCATCGTGAGTGCTATTCGTTGACCGTTCTGACAATACACTAACATTACAGGGCCCACCGTGCAGTGCTACCCTGGATTTGTAAATTGACCTGTCATCGTTTTTCAGTGGCTGCTGAACTCAGTAGTGGTCTCTTGTTAGCTGACACCGGAACATAATTTGTGCAAAACGAAGGAAACACGCTGATGAAAATCGTCACTTGCGACGGTATATGGAAGACAAATGATGCTCTGTTCATTCCCATAATGGCGTTTTTTGGAGGGCATTTACCTCTCACCCTTGACTCAAATGTCTGACCCACTGAGTATTGGAACCTGCGTAATTCCACCCAGTGCCTTTGGTGATTCAACATGCTATCCCATAATGTAGTGAAGAGCAATTCTAATCCTGTAATGTGACTGTGTAGAGCTCCATTTGGGGATGTGCTTGAGACCGGACACACACTCAGTATTGGGGATTCGGAACTGGGTGTGTGTATATTCGCCAGTGGTAACAAATTGTGCACCTGAAACCACAATCAACTGCATGTGAGTGTAGGCGGGTCTGCATCGTTCTGATCACGAGCCACCTGAACTGAAACGGGTGGAAGCAACTGGTGGGCGAGTGTGACGCTCGGGCTGTACACAAATCGAATTAAGCCTGTTGCCCCAAGCTGTTCGCTCCTCTTAGTTCGGTTGCTTTACATCTTCATCAGCCGATAAATGGGATCCTGAAACTGGGCTTGTCGACTGTCGGATTGTTTATAAGGAGCTGTTTTGAAATCACGTGAAGCGTCCGACCTTACTTATCTCAATAGATACAACGTTAAATTCCAGTCCCGTTGCAGTAAGTGTCCCCTCAAGGAGTCCCATCATTTAGTTGTTCAGATCCTGCGAACGGGAGAAATAGTTTAACTGGGTTTTGCGAACGACATCCCTTTACTACTTGATAATCGCGAGGTGGAGCAGCTAACCCTGATTGAACATTCCGGAGTAACCCCATCCTACTACATGTTCTTTACAAACTGTCATCGCACGATTACTGCCAACCTTTTAGCTCTAGAGGAGTGCGAAATAGAGCCGGTCGATCGATCAATTTATCTTAGTGGCTGCAGTAACAATGATAGTCCCATGCCTACTGAATTGATTTCATATATTGTCAAAGTCAAAACTGACTTCCTGTATTTGCGACACCTCTAGAACCGAGAAAGAACTCCTCTTGAACATTCAGAGTCTAGGCTGTTCTCCACTATAGCAGTGAAAATGGGTCACTCTGGTCTCGAACGCCTTCAGCTGTCTGATCACTGGTGCTCTCGAAGCCTTGCTGGCATCGTGACACCGGGGGTTCATAACTAACGTGCGCGGTCATGTAGTAAGCGGCGGTACTCAAGTTTTCTCGCTAGGCTAACAGATGAGATGAAGTAGTTACCTTCATTTTGAGTGGCATATGGTTCGGACGCACCGGCTGGGGTTCACTCTGCCCTTCTTGTGCTTAGTTTGAAATGTTAAGCACATAGCACACAGCCGGCTCCGGTGGAGTATCTGTTTTCTTCTTTTAGCCGGAATACATGTGCTCAGTCTGTATGGTCTTGGGTTATTTGTAGAGTGTGATTATGATGCGTGTCAGCGGAAACCTCAAGCAAACTGTCTCGTTGATGCCACCTTTGCCTGATGGTCAGTTGTTTATGACTTTGAGTTGATGACAGCGTATACGTGCCTTGATCCTGCACGTTTTTTATTGGTTCAGGTCTTACGTTAACCCTCTGTATTCTGGCGGTACTTGTAAGTACCACTTTGTTTAAATTGTACTATTACTTAAATGCAAGCGTTATTCCTGCCGGTACTCACGAGGATACGTACAATAGTCTTCTGTTAAGTAAGGGCCAGAACTGTGATATGTTACAGTGTATGGAGCCAACTGTTGTGGTTCTTGTCGAGCGTGGTCAAAGATTGGTTTCAGAGAAGTGTAGGTGGTTTGTTAAAATTCAGTTGGTTTTGTTGCAGTTCGCCAGTCCTATTAATTTTTCTTCCTTTTTGTAGTGGACATGCCATGATTCGGTATATTTCTTTTACAATTTTAAGTGTACTCCGTAGTATGCTGATCTAACATATATGTTGATACCAGAAAGTACCACCAGGCCTCAAGCCTGGTGGGCATAACGATGTAGTGGGGCGCAGCATTTAGCAATTTGATCAATTCATTATTGTAACAGAAAGTAACTTATTTACCAGTCATTACTATCTTCATTTTTAGTATTGAATATACATGTGTTGTGATGTGAGTGCTTATTGAAATCTATTTTGCAGTTAGTATTGGTGTCAAGCCGATATGAGTGGTTCCATTTATGAGTCGGAAGTGTACCAAGACAAATCACAGGACACTCCTACTTTGGGAGGTTTTGTGGACTGACTCACCCAAACTCTGAAAGGAAGTGGTTATGTTGTGGTAGTGGGTAGTTATTTCACATCTGCGGATCTATTTGAGCATCTGAAGGTGGACAACCTTTTAGCCTGTGTAACAGTTTTTCCCAAATGGAAACCTCTTTTCAAACTTCAAGAGGATAAGGGGGTTGAAGACTGATGATTTTGCTTATTGTTCTACATAACAAGGAATTGTGCTCCTCAGGTGGATAAATAACAAGTATATTCATCTGTTGTCCAATTACCATGGAAGTGAATCCACTACTGGGAGGCGTAATAAGCGGATTGGAACAATGGCCGACGCAGTTACACCTAAGCTAATACCCGATTACAATTCAGTCATGGGCGGAGTGAACAAAGCAAATATGCTGCACTCAATATATGATTATGATAGGCATCAGTAGTACGCCGGTACGCAGTACCGACGCTTCTCCACCGCGCAACCACTACCGGTCATTCGCGGGCTAAGGATACTGCGAGAGTCGCCCTACCCCTACGCAGGCTCGAACCCGCGCCGCCAGATTACAAGATAAGCTCGTTACCTTTAGGCTACGGACTGCTTTTTGCAACGTTGGAAATGGCGTATGTCAATGCATATGTAATGTATAAGGACATGCATCATGACATCTCATTGCTGGAGTTTCGAAGAAAATTGGCAAAGGAGCTTGTTGCTATAGGAAGCATACCAGTGAAAAAGATGCCGTCTTTCACTTACTACGATGTCATAACCAAACGAAATAAAGACACGAAGGATAAACTAGTATTCTCTGCCTAAAGACGTCAGAACACAGAATCTTGGCGCTCATTAACCTATTTTCGTTGCAGAAAGGGGAAGATGCGAAATGTGTCTTATTCGAAAAATCTAACCTAGACCACATTCAAAATGTTCTTATTGTGATGATATTTTGTGCTGCAACTTTAAAAGGAACTGCTTTCAAGAAATTCAGGTTCAGTAATGTACCTTTGTGGTTACAATGTTGATGAGCTACATCCCTGTCGATACTTACAAGTGCCACCTTAAAAATAAACATGAAAATGTTCACAAACATTAAATTTCTTTCTTTTTGTCTATTACTAAGCAAAATCTACCTTCTGACATGGAAAATAATGTAAAAGTTACAGGTAAATTAATTCAGAATTCAAAGGGTTAAGTCCCCCTCCACTACTCACCCGTTCTTTTTCATCAGAGCCCTTTCTAACCACTCATGATCATGTCGCATCGAAGCACCAGTACAAAATGCCGACCTCTGTCGTCGTCGTCGTCATTTTCGGTCATGATGAGCATAGTGATACACCTTCCAGTATCCTTTTTCTATTTGCACTGTCTGTGCCTCGTAGAGCAGTGACACATTCCCATCGAGTCCTTAGTTGCTCGTTCTTTGGATGGACACTGGATACAGTGAGACTCACATTTTCAGACGTCATGGCCAAGTCAACTCAACAGCGACCTCCAAGTGGTTCCATGTTTGAAAGTAGCCGCTTGAAAATCATCTGCGTCTCAGCTACCAGGTGGTGGTAATTCAAGCAAATAGTATTGCACAGCCTGTTACTCTATACGTACTGCTATCAATGGCCTGCACAGCGCTCCATCTCCTTCGTATAACTACATTGGTACCCATTCTGTGGCCTTGTGTTATAAAGTTTTCATACCTTAAAAGTCTGACCAGAAGGCATTTGCGGAATAAGTTCATTTGAGCCAAGGTGTAAAAGTGGTACCTCTGCCACTACCAATGTGGAAACGAAGGCAGTGCATTTTGCTTTGTCCGCTGGAAGCGGCAGTGTCGCTTTACTTCTAAACCACGGCATTGTCACTTCTACGGACCTGCTCACCTTCTCCATTATCACATGGATTACCCGTTCTTGTTACTTTCGGGTACCCAGACTATAATCGTTCAGACGTCTAACCCGCGATCTTGAGTCCCCAATCCTGCATAGATTTGGGTACCCCTGGAGTATCCCAATTCACATCCAACTGCTTATGGTTGCGCGACGGCGAAGCATCAGCATATGGTACTGGTTTCATGCTGAAATCTGCATTAACTCCTGCGAATATTCCATACGAGACCATTGCGGTACACGAACCCATTATCTATTGTTGAGGTCTTGTAGGGCGGGTCAGTTGTAGCTTACCGCTTTTCCAAACTCCAGGTGCTCCCGTTCATATCCGTTTTAGGTCTTACGGTGCTACGCGTTTCTGCCCTCCCATTTTCTCACGTTTTTTGTGTCGGTCCTCATAAGATCCACCATAGTGCCCTTCTGCATAATTTGCAAAGTGATAAATGCCAACGAATAGAAACGGCCGATGATACAGGAGGGTACAGCTTCAAACCTACTCCGTCTCGTCTTGGTGTTGCAACGTCGGATAACTATGGGGTGTTCTTCTCCGGATGTGTACACATATGTATATCCACTCACAGGTGATACGCCACAGTGTTCGTTACGTCCATCATCCACTGATCTTCACTATGTATTTTTCGCCTCATTCTAGGATATGAAAATGAGGGGTGGTTTGACCCTTGTCTCCTATTAAAAGCCCTTCGAGCCAAGTCTGTACTTCTGGGTGTTAATTATGTCGTTGGCGAGGTTGTAGATTTCAACGCCTCTCCGCATCTCTTGGAGATCAGTTTTCCCGACATGCCTCGACGTCCTCCTGTGGTGGGGCGATTACTGAGGGAAGCCATTGTAAGTTCACTTTCCTTTGTTCAGTTGACTTATGCACCAGTCTAGTCCGTAGCCTCCTCTTATTCTCTTGTCGTCCCGAGTCACATCTGCTCAGCATCGTACTTTGGTTTTCCCAGTTTTCCTCTTTCAGCCGACTGCACCAATTGTCCAAAGTTGACTACTATTGTTTCAACTTATCATTCCACACTGACCCTTTGGTATTTGCACACCCATCGTTCAACCATTGCTATCAATCCTTCTCATCGCTATTTGGACCATATCACTCTAAGTGTTACTGTGTACTCGATTTTCTCCGTACCCAAACTCCAAATCGATTATCTGCTACATTCATATTATGCTGAGTGTCTATTTATCTCCGAGTTTCGATAATCCAAACAATCGCTCCCGTTTTCAGCCCCCTATTCTCGTGAACTGTCAAGGCGGTCCGACCGTGTCGTATAACTATCATTTCGTTTTCTCAGATCGCTTTACCTAGCGGATCGACGTCCAACATTACCTTCGCTAATGTGGTCAATGCAGCTGGCCCTTGGGCAGCGGATGTAGCCCGACTGGTCGAAATTGGAAACACCGAACAACTCTCGGTTCCCCTACCTGTGGAGCCACGGTAAGTTACTTGTTCCTCAGCTGGCCACCTAATCTAAGTTCCAATGGAATTTGCTTTAGCGATAGTGTTTTCGGCATCGTTCGCCCACGAATTTCACCTGAATCCGATGACTATTTGTTTCGTCAGACAAAAAGCTCATGATTTTTCCTGTGACCTTGAATTGCTCTTTCACATCCTGCTCGCTCGGCAAAACATCAGCCGTACACCGGCACGTCGTATCTACACTTCGCTATCACGCGACCACCACCACCAGTCGTGAGCGGGCTAGGGATGCAGTGACCTCGAACTGGTGCCCTGGGAATTACAACAAGCCGGACACGCCTGAACCACTCGGTCACCGATTGATGTCTCACTCACTGGAGCTGGTGCCAAAATGTTTCCGCTCCATTCACTGACGCATCAACGCATTTGCATGTAGGAGTCCCTTGGAAAATGTAGGATTTCTGTCGACGTGAAACAAGCTAAGCATTATGTTTCCTACCAATCTGCACCATAGGACACTCCTATTTGCTCCTTTGAAGAGCAAATTCAGCCGCTTATCGGCACGTTAAAAATGCGTCGTGGAGTGACGTTACTGTCGTTACTTCCGCTGTGTCTCCATCTGACGCGGTTCACACTGCACTTATCCGAAGTGCGAATAGCCGCTATACCAGCACCCACCAGTTATCATGTTACCATATTCCACTTCCTTACACAGAGTACTTGCTTCGTATGGCCAGACGTCACTGTCCGCACCTTAAATGCCAGATGGTCGTGTAGTTGTGGACTTGTTTGATGACGCTCAGCTAAGTAGTATTGGCCAGACTGCACGTATCATGTCTCCTCGCTTCAGTTAGGCTCAATTGTCCTACTTACTCGTGAGTAGCAGGATTTCAGTTGTGCTTTTAAAGTTTTCTTCCCAGTAGTTCACAAGCTACATAGCACATCATAGTCCGGAAAAGCACCAGACGCGTTTCGCTCTATTGGGGCACCTCAATGGTGCGCGTTCCCTCGGTCCCCTATTTGGGTTCGAACGCACGACCACTAGAGGTAGATGCGACCTAACCAGCAGCTTAAGCCACTGAGCCATGTGGAACGTTGGCTGGGCTATATAATTTGCAAGCTAACTGGGATATGGCACGATCTATTTTCCACTGTCACTGACAGTGGCTAGCCAGCGAGGTCATGACGTCCATAGCATTTGAAACTATGTAGCTTGTCAACGACTGGGATGAAAACTTTAAAATTAATCTGTCCTAACCCAACAGCATCTTGACTATGTTCTAATCACTTATATGTACAGAGGCTTCAAGTGGAACGGGGACTTAATTGAGTAGGAAAATCGGGACAAGATTTCAGTGGTATTTTATATTACTGATAGAATCCCAGTAGCTCGAAAACAACAAACTGTATAACTTTACCTTAGAGCCTTTGGCTCAATAGCCTGATCCACAAGGCAGTGGGGAGCAGATCCAGCTCGGGAATATGATTGCAGTGACAGATTGGGATCTGCTCAATGGCCGTCACACGCAGCCTTGGAGGTACTGGAACGATTTATATATGTTTTGCGACCGCAGTAGGATACACCTGCGACCACGGCCGGACGCACGTGGGTTTTGGCGGTTTGCACCAATTTGACCAGGGGCTGTCTGGCTTGAGGCGGGCAGTAGCAAACCATTGAACACCCGGTGGTGCCCTCCCACCGTCAGAGATAATGCGTGGCGCTCGTGCTCTACGCCAATCGAGCTGTGAGCTTATAATCCGTGGACCTGTTGTCTCCCATGGCTAGGTTTTACGGGAAGAGGGCCATCGACCACTTCCTAACCTCCGAATATGGTAGACTAGGATACTGGCAGGGTGCCCACACCTGACAGGAGAACGACTCGGGTCCTCAGCCAAAGACTTCGATTAAATGAATACCCGAAAGGCAGCGGGTCTAGCACATGGTCAGTTCACTGACTCATGCGGATTGATGTCCTGGATCTTAGCAGGGAGAAGGGCGAAACCCAAATCCCACCCAGCGGTCGCCACGAGCAGGCGTCCAGGACATGAGCCAATGGCGCAACAGTAGCAGCAGTGGGTAGATCATCTGTCAGGATCTAGCCACCACCAGTCTCAGCGTACCATAGGCTCTCCCGCCAATTCGATATATATATATATATATATATATATATATATATCAAAGGGAAAAGAAAATACGCAAAGTTGACATTGACTATGCAGCAGAATAACAGAATTGAACAAACTAAAGTGGAATGGCTTTTATCCAGATTAAAATGACGTAGATTAACTGTGTTGGTTTAGCTCAACTGCGGTGAAGAAGCATTATTAATGCAGCATCATTCTGTTAATTGCACGTAATAGCTTGACTGGAGCCGTTGATGATGTAGCAAGAGTCTATGTCATTTACCTGGACTTCTTAAAATGTTTGATCGCTTAGACCATCAAATTCTCCTGCAAGTTTCGGAACTACGGCATGGAAGACCCAATCTTAAGCTGGATAAGCAATTTTCAACACAAACCTCGGTTGAAAGTGTGTTCTGGAATCTCTGTCCGCTGCAGTTGATGTGGACTGCGGTGTACTACAAGGCTCGGTGCTAGGATCAGGCCTATTCTTGGTATTCTTAAACGATTTGGCGAGATCAATAGCTTCCGAGTTGTTATTTTTCGCAGATGATACCAATATATGGACCGTACGATCACGAAAGGCTCCAGTGCGATCTTAACACGATTTTGTGCTGGTCAGTTCTGAATACCCTGTGCCATTCAAGGTTAACATATGTCGTGTTGTTCAATTCCGCCATAGACGTGACTACATATATTTGCTTGGGGCACACGGATTGCAGACCAGTTCCTAGGAAAGTGACTTTGGTCTGCTCGTACAGTGACCTCAACTGTTCAAAACAGGTTGCGGTAGCTGCGAAAAGAAGTAACTAGCACGTCGACCTGTTGCGAAGGACATTCGGGAGATGTGACCCATCAATCTTCCCAATGATGCACAATTCCTACGTGCGCCCTCACGTTGAATATGCCATTCAAGCTTGGCAACGGCTGAAGCGAGACCTAGAGACGTTAGAGGCACCACAAGGCAAGGGCCTGCGCAATCACTCTTACCACCCAAGGCTCTAGTTGCTGGGAGTTTCAGCGGACGCTACCGAAGACTGCGAGACGATCTCATATTAGCGTACCAAATATTTAGTGGCCCCAACCACGTATGTCGCCATGGGCTGAAACAGCCAGGACATGCAGCTTAGGGGAACTGCTTGAAACTAAGTGAGTAATACGGCCGTCTAGTATCGACGGAATAACTTTTCCTTCGAGTTTTCTGACCCTGGAACTCTCCTGAACTCAGTTGCATCCTCCACTAGTCTGTACATTAAAAAACGATTGAATGTTGCTAATAGCTCCAAGCACCATTACCAGAATTGCGCTATGGTGGATTAGAATAATCCTGCGCTTCTACCGGATTGATATGTCACATGGACCCAGGGGGCCATATTTTAGTTTTCTCACGCTTTACCTTAACGATCACTGCACCCGTGTATTTCCGTATGCCTGCATTCGATTTTATTTTATATTAACGTCTTTTTATCAACGCATTTATCTTGGTAGACGCTAAGTATAGAACTCACTCCCTTTGTAGTTACCCCAACCATCACATAGTAAGAGTCAAGCACTTGCTTTTGTCTCGTCAAAAATCATCGTTCATTGTACCTTCATGGGGGAAGGTGTAGACAACCATAACGTTGCCAGTATATAAGAACCACCAATGGTAGGCGCTGGAATAGTTTAATTGGATAGCCGATGTACAGTGTTTAAGCTAAGCCTATGGCGGCACCAAAACTCCACGATATCGATGGGATCCCATTAGAACTAGTATCAAGGCAGAAAAGATCGAGCGCGATTCGAACTTAGAGAGGTCGAGTAAATGTGTCGAGCATTACAAACAATCGCACTCAGGGGAACACATATGGACATATTAGATTCTGAGCACATGGTAAAATTAAACATTTCGGAAGAAGTTTACCATCATACCTCAAGCGAACAGGAATGTCGTCAGGCCGCTACAACCTCTTTGATGTGGCCACCATCCTGATAAGTGAACCGACTCATCACTACCATTGGCTGTTTTGGTAGAGCTAAAACCGGTGGAGTATCGGTACAGTCCTGCGACAATACCCTGCACTTTGAATGTGCAAAGCACATGCTGAAGCGTACAGCGCCACGCCTCAGTCCAATCAGTGGTCGTACAGCTGCTGCGTCAGACTTAAGGAGAGCTATGTAATGCACATACTCAAGGTCTGTCACTCGACGACATGGCAGAACTCCCACTCCGGAAGTCTGAAAGACCCGAGTCATTTATGCTAATCTCGATCATAAAGCTGAGTAGGGAAGGACAAAGTACTAGCTCGTGAACTCCACTTGTCGTGAGGAACTCAGGAGACAGTTTCCCGTAGACACAAACCCGACCTCATGAATCACGGTAGACTTCAGAAGAGGGAAACATTCCTGGTAAGCAATTCGCAAGCTGATTCGACCAACAGAGTCTAAAGCGGCTTTCAAGTTAAGGAAAATCACCATAGTCGGTGGTTTGCATGTGTCTATCTTAACACTTAACGAAAAGGAAATACGTGGTCTATGCAACCACGACCAGGCATCCCACGAGGACCATGAAGTAGTCGAAGAACGATACCCGTAAGAAGTTTGGCGGCAATCGAAATAAGGCTTAGGCCCGGATGATTTTCGCACAAATTCTGTAGACCCTTTTTGAAGATGGGCACAATAGTTGGCAGTCGTCACTCTAAGGGCACCTCCTCAGTGCCCCAAATCGTGCTGAAGAAAGCATCAAGTTCAGTCAACGAGGTCACCTTCATCACTCGGCAAAAACGAAGGAATGTTAACATTCCTGATATGTGAGACCCAGAGCTCATGTTGAATCTCTCCTAAAGCGTGGGGTGTGATATCATCTTCCCGCGTCGCTCAGGTGATTCGGGTATTTCCCGTTCCAGCGAATGGTTCGACGGC